CATGGCCAGTTTTCCTACCTTCACAGCGCCCTTTATGCAGAACTGGGTCCATGGGGCCAACGTGGCTCTGGCACATCTGCAGTACGAAGCAGCCCTGCTCGGCCCTCACGCGCACAAAGTGGCTGCCCGCCCATTCCTTGTCACAGATGGAGGACCGCCTCCGGTTTTCAAGGACTTTTACACACTCGTGCAGTCGGTCAGCGTGACACCCTTTCACGTGCAATACCCGCCGCCACTGCTTTTGCTGCTCTTGGCTCATTGCATAGAGACCTATTGCTTGTTGCTTTGGAAGGTGCCAGCGTTGCAGAATATCTTCTCGGAACCCGGATTGCCGTTGTACATGCTGCAGCCCGCTTCCGTGGCAGGTGCCATTAATGCTATTATCAACGATGCCGACGCTCGACGACGACCAGAGGAGGGCGGATTGGGATACCAGGCCAAGTGCACGACCATGGAGGGACTGTGTATGCAGCTAGGCGCATGGAATAAGTGGGTGAAGAGCGGAGGCGAGAAAATCAGAAGCGAGAAGGGCATCGTCAAGGATGTTCTTGAAGTTGGAGTCGAGCCTGTTGCGAGGCGAGCATGAGGTCACAAACTTCAGCCGGCGGTCGACTGCTGGAGACCCCTTTTGGTGCATGTCGAAGGAATTCAGATTTCATCTTCGGCGGCGAATCCAAGAGAGCGGAGTATCCAGGTTTTGCTGGCGCCGTACAAAGGAAAAAGTTGTAGCTCTTGAAGAATCATGCAGCTTCCCGTCATCGGCAATAGCTTGGCAGTGTCTTGATCCAAGCTTCAGGTGTTGACCAAGTAAGTGGCACACGCTTGTCGACAGGATGACAGGTGACGTCTTGACACGGCACGGAGATCCGGAACCTGGATCCTCGTCCAGCCCCCACAACCCCGGCTTGCCAAGTTGGCGGCGCTGGGGGGCAGCTGCATGGCGCTCCGAAAATCACTTCTTGGGGTTCTTGTGATGGGAATCCCGTAAATCCCATGCTTAGGCATAACATCGTTCTTCGATCAAGTCCGTTAAAAGCTTCAACGCACGCTAGGAGGGCCTCCCTCAGAAGCCGATCCATTGACTTTCTAGACGGAGGAAAACATTGCTGAGGCAGCTCAACAAGCCAAGCCACTCAACAGAAGATGAAGCCATAGACTGAGGGCTGGCGGCAAAGACGCTGGCTGGGCGATGCGTTCGTAAGCTTGGTGGCGGGGTCGTGCCAGCGGGTACAGACAAGCAAAGTTCGTATCGGCAGCCTCTTGCAGGTCTAGGCCAACTTTGCGAGCAGTTTCTGGCGACGCCTCAAGAAATGCGCAAACTTGGTTCGCGGGTGGCTGGCGAAGGACGGGAGGGTGTGATGAGATGGATGCAGCTGGACGAGGCGGAGAAACTGCATGGCCGAACAGACGCTGCAGATGGTCCGATGTAAGTGACGGTTGGCTGGTCATAGCCGGTGCGACAGACACATGCAGACTGTTTGCGGTTGGCCGGAAGACAATACCTATGGTACTGGCCATGAGTGAATCACCAATGTACTCTGAATTGAACAAGAGACCGTTTCTGCTGCCCAACCGTCGCCTGTTGGAAACTGGAACATATCGAAAGCGGATGAACGTTGCCGTGAGAGACAATACCTAGTCGACTTTTGCATCCGATAGCAAGCTCTGCTTCAGGCGGGTTGGCAGCAGCCCCTCCCGCATACCGGTACCCCAGGCGTTTGGTGCAGATGGCTAGTGTAGATAACTAGTGTCACTGTTGATGACGATCACTAGAAAGCTGGGCAAGCAATTGACTGCAATGATTGGCCAGCGAGCTCGTGGTAGCTCAGCGCCCAGGATTGTGAGAGGTAGCTCACCATGGTCTGCCAGTGCCACAGATGCCAGGTGTTACTTCGGGTTAGTGCTACTGTAAGAGCGTGCGTGGACTGGCCGCGTTGCCGATTTGAGAGACTCATTGTCTTTTTCATCCGCCCAAAATCGACATTGGAGTTGGCGAGGCGGCCTCTTTGTGCCGTGATTGTTGGCTGGCGTCCAACGGCGTTGGAGCTTTGGGCACGAACATCCGCATGCGCCGGGCTGCTCCATAGGTTGCTCCACGAAAAAAAAAAAAAAAAAAAAGATCCGTTGCAGCAGGCATTTGTAAGGCCAGCAGGACAGGGTTTCTCGATATGGGGCCGGGCTCAACCGGACACTAAGGTGAGTGCTCTGTGGAGAGGTTCAGGTGGTTGATCATGATGCTGAGATGTCGGCTTGTGAAGGCTCATGGCGTCTGCTGTACCACCATTCGATACTTTGCGTCTGTTCACAGGGAAAAAAAAGGGGTGTTTGGAAGGTAAGGAGGTTCGCAAACAGAAACAGAACATGGTACAAGAGTGAGGCAGGGAATCAGTGAACAGGGCGGCAATTCAGCGACGCCAAGAAGAGGGCGACGCGATGCGATGTGAGAAGGGGCGGGTAAAGGCCAGGTTCGTTTCGGAAGATGAGACGTCTTTTTGGTACACCATAATAGCTGCCACTTTGGTGAATTGGCGATTGACGATGCAATCTGTGTAATCGATCGTGGTCTCTAGAGATGCCGCCGGGAAATATTCCATGTCTGCCGGCAATGAAAGAACCATCGGGAAATCAATGAATCTGAGGCATCGGTAGGTTGTGCAGTGGATGACAGTGACGGGGAGAAGCCAGAGACCGAGGGCGAAGAAGAAGAAGCAGCAAATGGGACGGCGCCCGGAGCAAAGTGCGTTGCGTTGAATTGATTGGCAATAGATACCCTTGCCCCCACACAAGAATGGAGATGGAACCTGCGAGTCTCCCGGACCACGGCAACAGCCAAGCTGCATATCTGTGGCTAGTGTTCCTGCCGTTCTAACACCGTTTGGGACTGGTGTTGTTTCTGTAGACCGAGGAGCGGAGGAACTCTCGAGGAAGTTGAGGGAAAGAACACCGGACCTCAGTCACGATTCGTACCTGGTCAAGTACCTAGTAATAGAGGAGCGGAAGGTGGACCTGTGTTGGGTAACGTTAGACCGAGATGAAAAGCCCGGGCCCTGCGAAATCTGAAATCTGAAGGAGACGCCGGCGGAGGGAGGGGGGCAATTTTTTCCCTCTGTGCCTCTCTACCTCTCGCTATCTCATTTTGCTTCTCTCTGTTTTGTTATGAGACAGGCACCGCAAGGAATGCGACTGTAATAGCACTTGGCGCTGCGACCATCGCCTGGTCAATGGAATCTCGCGTGCAGCGTGCCATGCCTGTCCTGTCGCGACTGACAGTAGCCGTTCCCATTACTTTCCTTAGTCAGGCAGCATCTCTCACTGAACTGTAATGAGAGACTGACCCAGTCAAAGGTTCGGTGGGAAGAATCATGTCGTTCCCGGTGAATCCTGGAGTGTGCATGTATGAGTGAACAGCCTAGCCGGTGGCATGGCATAAGCCGCGGTGGCACAGGCAAACTACCGGGCCATGTCTGTATTAATTATGGAATGAAAGCGGAAAAGATGCGACGACGCGGATGAGGCCATCACGAGGGTCGCTGAAAGTTTCAGTCTACAAAGTCTGAGGCGACAGGGACCAGGTGCTACTGACAGGGCAGCCCTATGCCTGCTTAGCAACGCAGCACGCCCCTCATATGAGCATCCACCGTTGCGGCACTTGACAATTGACGATGTTATTGTGAGATTGGGATCAAGTGTATCAGCAATTGCGCTGTGGGAAGTAGAAGAAGAATTAAACCACCACAACTTCGCGGGATGGCGCTGTCTTAGCTTCTGCTCGAGAAGATGCACTTTAATTATCTGCACCCACAGCGAAGATACGTACACGTTCAATTCCCGCCATGCGCAACCTTGTAGCGTTCCTATCTTGATTAAGGCCATGTGCGGTACGTACCTCCCCGGCCAGTCGGTCAAGGACCCGCCCCTGCCGATAACAGCAAAGCCGCGGACTGTCTGTGCGAATTCGCTGACGCTCACGCACGCTCTCGGTGACGATGTCGCTTCTCAGTTCTGACCTCATCACGAGAATTCCATCGTGATCCAACCCGAGTCCGCAACGGCAACCTCGATTGGACTTTGCTCGACGGAGATACGGCGGCTGCACTGGAGGATGTGCATATGTTCCTGGTTGGGTTTCCCCTCTCCCCCACTGTGACCCGACATTTGCGATGGGTGGACCCCAGCCACACGTCTGTATCCGCCAGTACGTACCCGTCTTTGCAGGCCTTCCAGTTTGTGTGAGAAGAACGGGCCAAGCCCGGCGACTTGCGACTGTCATGTAAGTGGTACCCTTGTATTGTGCCCAACACGGACGCGCCGGTGCAATTGCTGCTGGGCGGACGTGGGCATCGTGTCCCTATCTTAGTGGAAAGAGAAGGGAAAGCGAGGGCAAGGCCGCACGTGTGAGGTCAGGTAGGTAGGTGCTAAGAGAGGGAAAAATGTGTGAGAGAGAGACCGGGAGAGAGAAAAAAAAGACGCGGTCGGCCGGACAGGTACCGCGCAATCAAACCATGCGTTGCCTGTCTTTCTGATGATCGCAAGAGGGAAGGTGCGGTTTCTGCTGTTCCACCAGCCACCCTTGTAACTGTCCACTGGCACCTGCACTCATACCTGGACTCCTCACACTTTTTCCCGCTCCCCCCATTGAGCTTACCGCATTCAAGGCAAGTGCGACCAGAGAGACAAGCGTGGGAAAGAACCACTCACACACACCCCGAGGTACCTGCCGCTCTTGTTGCTGTTGCTGCTGTTGCTGCACTCTTGCCTCATAATAAAACCACATCGTTGCCCGCGTCGCCCATCTGTTTTGACCTCACCTCTTCTCTTTTCCCCGTCCACACTCCGTCAAACATCACCAGCAAGCACATCCAGGCAAAACATCTTCACCCCGCCGACGATACTTTGGAACTGAATATCGCTTGATTGATTGTCAGACGTTCTCCCGTCTCCATTCAACAACTTCAACCAACCACAATTTCCACTACCTCTACACATCACCAACAGACAACATGCGTACTTCCCTCGCCATCGTAGCCCTCTCGGCCCTCACTGCCGTCTCTGCCCAGCGCAAGGTCTACACTGCTGCCGATATCAACGTTGCTACTGTCTCCGTGAACCAGAGAGGTAAGTCAACTGGGAGAATTATGCCATCAGCTTTGGCAATCCGGCTTTGCCGTATGATTACAGCCACTGAGCATTGACTAATTCTTTTTTCCTTCAACAGCCAGCTGGTGTGTCGCCGAGCGCAACACTTGCAAGGTCCTTTGCGAGCCTAACCCCACCACCAACGACTGCGATTCTGTAAGTTCTCCTCTTTTTTCCTATGCTAGACCAGGAGCACTAGTTGCTTGTTGATCACCCCGGCCCGAATTCAAAGAGGCCGACGCTCGTGGGCAGCATGGCTAACTCTTACTCAATAGACCACCCTTGTCTACTCTTGCCTCTGCCCCAACGGCTCTGCCCCCGGCCTTGAGTACTACGAGCAGACCATGCCCACCTTCATCTGCGAGAAGGCCTTCGAGGACTGCATCACAGCCAACGTTGGTGACGCTCGCGGCCAGACCAACTGCACCGACACCATCAAGTCCCAGTGCGGTACCGTTAACGCCCAGGCCGACCAGGCTTCTGGTGTTTCCACCACCACCACCGCCTCTGCTACCAGCGCTGCCACCGGAACTGGTACCGCCGCCGCTACTACCGCCGCCTCCAGCTCCAGCTCTTCCGCCTGGGCTGTTCCTACTGCGAACCCCGCCCACGTCGGCAATGCTGCTGCTGTCGCTGCCATTGGTCTCCTCGCCTACATGCTTTAGATTGATTCTGCACTCTATTAGGCTGTGGTAAACTGCGAGCCGCGATTGCTTCATGCGGCGACATGATTGACAATCGCGGGCTTTGAGCGGTATTTCGCTTCTCTGTAATCACCTTCCCTACTACCCGGTCTGCGTGCTTACCACGCGGCTCCCTAATCTTTTTTGACGAGGAATACGTGGAATTATGCGATGGAGACGATGGATATTCCCACCCGTATGGCATTTTGAAGTTCTAGGAGGAGTCAGTGCGTTACAGGGACGGGTGATGTCACCCCATGTTGCTTTTGCTCTGCATTTCGCGTTTTAGGCATGATTGAAAGACAGTCCAGACGACGTCAAAAGAAATGAAGAATTGATTCCCCCCAATTCCCTGTCCCCTCTGCTTTGAGCGTTGACTACCGGCCTATCACCATTATGGCCGACCATTATGGCCGACAATGGGCTTGTGACAGTCTCCCATTGGCCTTCTTTGAGGTATGCCGCATCGTCCCAAGCTTGCAAATCTTCACTAACACATGCCTTTGTCAACGCCAATAGGAAAGGTCATGAAAGCGGTCAAACATCCCTTGTCCCCATTGTTTTATCAGCTTTCTGTTCCACGGAACTGCTAAAGACAATTCCTTTTGTCTCTATCGGAATGGTTTCATAGTGAATACTGCTATTGAGGGATACTACGATATATATTCCAACTCACTGCCGCCTGTATGACAGCAGTTCAGCTCTTCGCAACACATACCTACCTCATATCATTCATTCGTCTCAATTTGCATCATTGACTGATCGCACCCACAAGCACCACATTGTACATTTCACCAACTGACTTCACAACATACACCCAAATCCACCATGACCAAACGCCAAATACAAACCACACCTCCGCGAGTGTCATTTGGCGTAGAACTCGAGTTCTTCGTTGCCTTCGTGCGCGAGGGGGAAACAGACCCCGACCATGCCATCAGGCATGAACTACAGCCTCTTGTCGTAGTTCCCTCGGATGATGGGATCGATAAGCACGGCCTTCCGCATACGGCGTACGATTGGGACGAGGACTTTGTGTTCCACAGCATTGGTGACGCCTTGGCTAAAGCTGGGTTGCCGGTTTATGGCCAGGGTCAATGCGGTGTGTCCGGCTCTGTGCAGAGCAGGCAGAGTAAAAAGGCCATTGACGCGTTCCAGCTAAAGACAGACATCTCTCTCAAGGCTGACCACGTCGACGGGTACCGCTGGCAGCGTGTCGAAATGATATCACCGGCTATGTACAACATGAATATGTCTTTTGACATGGTTCGTCTGGCGGTAAGTGTAATCACTACTAACTTCCGATGCCGAGTGAATCCTAGCTGTGGATTCCACGTTCATGTGGGTGTAGGACCGACGCAAAGAATCGACGCAAGAACTTTACGGCACTTCGCTGCCCTCTTATGGGCTGCCGACCCTCTTATTAGTCGACTTCATCCTCCTTGGCGCGCTACCCTCGCCTACAGCCAGTCTGCTCGAGTGAACGAAGCTACACCGCTGGGACAGGGCAAAGGCCCTGCAGGTGCGACTATTGACAAAAACATTGCCCCACGGAATTTGAAGAAGATGAAAGTTCTGGGAAGAGACCGCTGGCTTGGCGATTCAGTTAAGGTGGACACGACCTCAGAGACGATGATTCGCGAGTTGAACTTAGATCAAGAAGACGATGAAGCCCTTCTGACAGGCCACGAACCATGGCAGCATCGACCGGCCATTCCCGAAGTCAGGGACCCAAAGAGTTCCGAAGCTCGCTCAACCTCGCCATTTGGGTTTCCTCCACTTAGATACGAAGCTCCTGTACCAATGCCGAAGAACTACCGCAGCTCTGCAACCAAGGGCGTAATCCCACCACGGCCTCGACCTCCCCCAATCAAGAGACGCTACGCTCGTGTTCCCGGAACGATGCGAAAAGATATCCGCGGAGATCCCGACTTCTTGGACGGGTACATCCTAGGCCAAGGAGGAAGTATCGAATGTGTGGAAGTCAACCAGCCGTCTCGGTGGGACGTCATGTCTGGCGTCAGGGATCTCCTCGGTGCTGACATGACGGTCGCACAGATTGGGCAGTTGATGACGCCTGCCTTTCTCCCCAAGCATGTCAACTACAAGTTCAAAGCCTATGATTTCTACTCTCTCGAACATCTCGCCCCGCAGGATGGAAACGGCACACGGACGACGTACCCCACGAAAGACCATACGATTGAATTCCGCGAGGCGGCGGGCTCTCTGGATGTGGAGTGGATTGCGACCTGGGCTCGCATCTGCTGTCGCCTACTCGAATGGAGCCGTGATGCCGAGCCGACGGAATTTATGTGTGTGATGCGGCTGCTGGCGTGGGCCCAGGAAGAGGAGGGCGCTCAGTACGACGTGGTTGACTTGTTGATCGATCTGGGTCTGATCACCGAAGCGAGGTTCTGCGAGGACAGGTTACAGCGGGGGGAGGCTGCGTGGTGGGAGTGCGCCAATCTTGGCGCTCTCGAAGGGTCTGAGAATGCTTTTGGAGACGGGATGGGATACCCGGTGCCTGGATTCGACGACTACGAGATGCCTGATGTAGAGAGTGGCGGTGGGCATCGGTACCCCGGAGTTGCGTTCGGGGGCTGGGACGATGCTCACGGTGGTGAGTATAGGGGCGGAGAGGGTTGGGATTCGTCGAGTGGCAGTGACGCTTTCGAGCTCGAGTGCAAGGCACCTGAGGCTGGTGAGGAGACCAAGACAACTACACCCGACACATTTGCGAAGGTAGCCAGAGATATGCCTACAGCAGGTGAGACATACCCGGAATACACATCGGAGGAGAAGGCAGGTGGTGATGTGGATGAGCAAGGTGAGTCTGCGGAGCGGGCGTCGTAGTTCGAGTACCAGCCCAGCTCACCCTAGAATTACGATTGAGTGAGAGGGGTGTGAGAGACTGATTGAAAGGTAGGTGTTGCCGATGCCTTGGATACGTCGTCGGAGTATGCTTGGGTTGAACATGATGAATACTCTCGCGAGAAGAAGCGGGTTGAGTCAGAGGATGGCTTTGAGATTGTGGAACGCGAGAATTAAGGCATAAGTCCTTAGTGGGCAAGATAGTGGGTTATTGAGTAGACAAAATATGATTCTCGTCAGGAACAAAGCTATTGAGTGTTTGAATATAATCAAGACGACTTGGCCTGATGTGAGATTGTGTTGTTTGACTAATAAGGTTTGGTCGAGCTGGGGATGTTGCATCTGAGTCTCGGTTCCTTTATACAGCCTCCGGCTAAACATTTTGTCTTTTTTTTTTTCTTTTTTTCTTTAACTTCGATGTAGAAAACGGAACAATGAATGTGGCTGCAACAGGACGGAGGTACACGAATACCATTGCGAGAATCTGATTCAGGATAGCCGAAGATAGTGAATTTTGAATGGAAATCTCGAAGATGACGGGAACCACAGGAGCTGTAGTTTCACTCATCCTTTCGAGAGACCACTGGGCTCGAATCTTTTACCACCCTTTTGTCAATGGACTCGGTCGGGGCTTTAACTCGTCTGGCTGGGAGGATTACAAACCAACGGCCCTTTTCATGATGAGAAGAGTTCTGACAGTCTAGTCGTCAGTGATCAAGGCAGAAGAAGTGGCTGGCAACTTTTCAAACATGTTGACTGAGTGAGACGTCGTCCTCCTAGAAATTTGCTCACAACCTGGAAACATTGCTGTTGAGTAGGACATCATATGTAGGCTCCCCAGCGGTTGGACCAGATGCTGGATCAAGGCCCGATAGTCTTCTACCGCTGATAAACCATCCCTAGAAGTAGAACATATGATCTCGTATCTACTACAACGTTCCAGGTCTTGAGGCCTGGCGGCCTTCGTATGACAATGCCATTGTTCGCAGACTGGAACATCGTTGTCGAGAAACTGAACGAAAACAAAGGAAAACAGATTGCGGCCCAAGGGCCGTTCCGCAATACAACGTCAAGTTATCTATTAAAAGGGCATCTTCAGCCCTGCCATCCTTGCAAATCCCAAGTTCTCGGTACTCAATTCCAGCCGACATTCGAAAAGTTCCTTGGTGGCAGAACACTAACAGGTATCATACAAGGACCTCCATCCGTACAAATCCCTCCGACATATGCTCCCTCATCCTCCCATGCCTACGACCATGGATTTCCGACAAGCACAACGCCAAGGCCCACCAACCATCCTCGACCGTCTCGCATTCCTACCGCTCGAACTCCAAAAGCACATCCTCTACGACTACCTCACGGTAAGTAGCAGCCCCTGCATCTTATCCCTCTTTGTTCCAGACTGGGTCGTCTGCGCCCGCGCCGCGGACCCCGTCAACGAGATTTACGACCTTCAGCGGATCGACGTCTACACCAAGAGCGCGAGCGCGTTCGGCGGCGGCGGCGGCAGCGTTCGAGGGAAGTACGAGTCCGGGGTGCGGCACGGGGATGGGGATCATGCTTCCTTTCCGTTGATGAGGCAGGTAGGCGGTTCCCACGAGCAGCATCCCCAACACGGCGCACTGCTGCTGGAGGAAGAGCTTGGCAGGAGGTTCCCGGCCGCGATGGACTGGGCCCTGCGCGACCTCGGACGGAACGGGCTAAGAGTCTTTGAGCAGGTTTGGCCGAGGGGGCACGACGATGGGGTAGGTAGGTGCATGGCTTCCGGGGCGCTCGTCTTTCGTGAAGCTGGTCGTGGTCACGGGCGGGATGCAGACTATTCTCATGCTACAGGAGCAGCAGCCCCGGCCTCGGCAAAGTCGGATACGTTGTCGTCGTCGTTGCCCCGTCACCTAATGTTCAACAGCGTCCCCTCCGATCCCTGGCTCCAGCTCCGGCTGCGCCGCAATGCCGTGACCGACTTCCGATGCGAGATGGCCTTCGTCATCGAACGGGGACTTCCTGATGAGGAGTTTATTGCGGTGGACTGGACTGCCATGACGCGGCTCGAGACGCTCTTTTTAGATTTGCGGACGTATGCGAGCGGTAGTGGTGGCGGGTTCCTCCAAGACGCGATCCGGCGTGCCGCGGTGAAGATGGGGTGTCTTCGGCTTCGGTGTCTTGTCATCGCGGGGTTGAGGACGGGGGAGAGGTACGGTAGGTCACAAGTGTGTGAGTGGGAGACGGACGAGCAGGATGAGGTCGAGGGGGAGGTGAATTGGGTCAAGGTCTTCGCGCCGGCGTTGGGGGAGGGCGGGAGGCTGGTGTTTATTGACCGGAGAGTTGTGGATGTTGATTGGGATGCGTGGAGGGTTCGGGCCGAGGGGGAAGGCTTGTTGGCTCGTCAGGGGAGGGAGGGTGAAGATGGGAGTTGTGATACTGGGGCTTATTTGAAGCATTTGGACAGAGTGATGGGTGACCGGTGAGTAAGCCTCTCTTTTTTTCTGAAAAGTGGTTGCGTTACGTGACAGCCCATTGATAATGAAAGCTTTGAAGTCGTTGGCGATGTCCCTTGTAATTGCCCTTGTTTCCCCCTGAAGTCCACTATCGGCAGAGCCAATCCCCCGCTTGCTGAACCTCGCACCATATAATAGATACATTACACTCCGCATTGTGCTTCATTGCTGCGTGATATCATAATCATCCTTTCTATCTATCTAACGTACCCCATACACCACGACGTGTGGTGGTTTTCCTTCCCGCTGCATAGGACTACTTGGCTACGCGGTAATGTAGCACGCCTCAGTGTGAGTCACCGTCTGTTGCGGCAAGTTTCTGATGGAAACCATCAGGCCTCTCTCTAATGAAAACCAAGCGCCGTCCAGCTGATAAATTCCTGTTGATAGAAAGCGGCGCGAATGTTGCAGCCTTGCTGGGGCTACGGTTCTCTCGAGCCTGTTTGAAAGGCTCATAAACAGGAGCTGAGGCTGTGATTCCAAGAATCGCCTTCCCATCGAGAACGAGCTCTTCCGTTGCCTCTTTCTCGAACGATGGTCGTCGTTATCTGCAAAGTTAGCGCTGACCTCAACTTTGAGATGAGAGGAAACTCACAATCAAGTCAATCTGTACCAGATGAATATCCGTAATTGCAAGCCTGCTGTCCACAGGCTTGACATGCGTAGATGTCTCCGCCGCCATTGCCATGGCGAAGTTGGACTTCAAGTCATCTCACACCTCCTCCCCTTCCCCCTCCTCAACCAAAACCCTCAGCCTCTCCGCCTCCTCCTCGGAATCCCCCGCAGGCGGCTTCGTCGGCTTCAACCCCTCCATCTGCAAATACCGCACCAGCGTCTTGGTCGCGCACGTCACGCCCGCGTCGCGCTTCAGCTCGGCGTACGAGCAGGCCGGCTTCTCCTGCAGCACGCGCAGGAGCGTCTTGACGTCCCGATCAGACAGAATACGGGGGCGGCCCGGACGGGGCCGGTCGCGGCCTGCCTGCTGGAGGCGGTAGCGCGTGACGATGCCCTTGATGGAGGAGACGGGGACTTCCTCCTTGATGGAGATTTCTTTGAGGGACATGCCGAGCTCCGAGAGGACGGCGATGCGGGCGCGCTTTTCGGGGGAGTATTGCGGTTTGCGGGGCTTTGGTTCTGGGGCGGCGCGGCGAGGCATTGTGTGAGAGGTGTATGTGTTCGTTGAGGGAAAAGTGAAGTGATGTGAGGGTTAGACGATAGATGGGATGATCGCTGAGATTTTCGCTGAAGATCAGATGAGTTGAGGTGGGAATTAAAAGGGGGGATGATTATTACGTTGTGAGATGAGGCTGGAGGATGAGAAGGAGGATGAGATGTAGACGATAGCGGCGCATGTCGAAATTTTCGTTTTTTATTTTTTCTTTTGGTGAACCCCGGTGGCTGGGCCCACTTTCTCGGGGTGGATCAGGGGTGCTGCGTTCGGGGTAGTGGATACCTCAGGTTCCTCGACGAGGCGGGGGCAAGGGCCACCTCAGGTCTGGACAATTTATGGCTAGTGGGGGGTTTATCTCAATAGCTGGAGGTGCTCGTCTCTTCTATCACCATATCGTTGGGAGTAAGGTAAACCGCAGTTCATCAAACTCCAGAAAATGGTGCGAGTGCCCCAGAATACTGGTTTTCCTCCCGGCTTTCGAGGGTGCCAAAGTAAGTACCTGGTATTCCGTACCACCTGCAAGAGAAGGCACCCAGGGTGCCAAGCTTAGGTCTCGGACAGGAACAGCTCGGAGCAGCTCAGTGTGCTTAGATAAGCTAGCCATCGACCAATAGATTGAAATCTATCTCTCCGAGCATGCAACTTGAAGGCTACCTTGCGGCCAAAATCAAAGTCTGCGAAAGGTGGCTTTCCTCCATTATCGTGATCAGTCTCCAACATCTCCTTTCTTCTGTGTGTTTTCGTTTCTTTTCTCGGGGACAGAGCGTCATAAGAAATAGCAAGTCTGACAAGAAGAAAGTATGACCCCATCACGGACCGCCGATGATGCTACAATCAGCACCAGCCACATGCACTGAGCCACGCTGGAGTATCTTGCTCCTCTGGCCGTAACCTCGCGATTTTCAATTAGATCCAATCCTGAGCAACGGGATAGTGAAAATTTCATATGATCTAGCAATAAGAAGGAAGCCTCTTCTGGGGAAAGACACCTCGGCACACATGAAAAAGTGGTCCGCCGGCATCACTTACACGGGGTACAGGGATGTTGCAACATTCCAAGATCCCTCCCATGGGCTTGGGTGATGGATTAAACAAGAGATATTCCCCGTATATCAAGGCGACGAGGGATGAGGCATATGGCATATGAATGAGCTGTAACATAATGCTGGTACTTAGGTACACTAGGCACGACCAGCTATGCCTCGACCTTTGACGAGACGTGAAGCATAACTCATAATCCCTCGGAATCTGCTCCGGCTTCCATGCAATAAACCCGTTGCCTTCCCCGCGACGTATGTCACCTTCTCTCAATACTTTCTCCCCTGGTTAAGCAATAAGCCCCTCAGATCTCGCGAGACTCAAATCTTCTCCTCAGTCTTCTTCTTCGCAGCCTGCTCCGCCATAAACTTTTCATAATCCGCCTGCCTCTCGGGTGAAACCTTCATAAACGGAATATCGTCCTCCATCACCTTGCCCGCAACCCTCACCGGCTCCGCAGGCTGCAGACAGAAAATCACCCGCGCCCACTGATCCGTCGCATTCTTCCACCCGTGCATCGTGCCCCTCTGAATCATGATCTCCCCTTCCTTCAGCGTCCGCTTCGCCCCGTCGTCCAGGTAACACTCCACCTCGCCCTTGAGCACGATGCCGTAGTCGCACGACTCGGTGCGGTGCATCATCGGCCCTGTCTGCGGACCAAAGTCTACCACCCGCAGGACGGAGCCCGAGGGGAGGTGCAGGGACGGCATGCGCGGGTGGTTGGGCGCGTAGGCTGCCAGGTCTTTTTCGTCGTCCATTGTGACGGGTGACTCGGAAGTTGTGTAGCAGGTGTGGAAGTACATGTTCTTCAGCGGGTCCGGCGTGACTTGTACGGGGAATGCGTCGGAGAAGACGGCGCGGCCGTTGGCGTCGTGGGTTGTGATGTGCCGGGATACGGGGCCGAAGGGGCAGTCTTCGGATGCGGAGGCGGCGGGAGCAGCTCCGGACGACGACATCTTTGCTTAGGCGTTGTGAAGTATGTGCGATGAAGGTGTGAACAGACGGCTGAGGTACCAAGGTTCGATGATGGGTCTGACAAGCTTGACAGATGATGGGGGGAGCGAGCAACGAAGTATAGCTAGCTGGTGGGAGTGTGTAGTTGGCAACTTTGCTGTGTCTTCTTTTAAAGACCTCTCGTCTTTTCTTCTTCGTCGACCGAGACAAGTATGGGCGGGGAGTCGTCCGATGGATTGTATCTTCTGTCAAAGCACGATTCGTTCTTTGAAAGATGCGATTGGGGGGGTAAGAAGAGGGGATGAAAGGTCCCTTTAAGAAGGTGTGCTGTCACGGCCGTTGGCCTTGGCGCACAGACTTGGGGGTGTCTCGCGGCTCGCCGAGGGAAGAGATGAAAAGGCCACTTGCTAGTAGGAAAAAGTACCTAGCCAGCTGGCATTGCCTTAGGAAAAACAGTGTTGTCCCTCACCTGACGCAGGAAGCGGCAATCCTGCCAGCCAGCCTGCATATTTCCACCTGTCTTGCTGCGTTATAAGGTTTGGTGAGAATTAAACGCGGCATTCGGTGTGGGGTGCCAGTGCCACCCCAGCCGGGCGCGGCTGCATCGACTATGCGCAGTCCTCGTCCTGGCTTGAACCCAAGTGGTCGGAAGTTGGTGACGGAGGCACGGTGGTTGGGAAATCCTGCCAAAAAAAAAAAGGTTCGCCTGGCAGTGCCGACGCGGTAACGCCACTTCTGCTGTATGGGTGATGCCTTACGTCCGTACGAGTGAAAGGCAGTCCTGCGAGTCTCATCCTCCGAACCATGCAGACAGATAGGCGCAGAATCCACTCCGAAGTGCAGCAAAAAGTACTGCCACGATAGGTTGGCAGGTATCTATCTGTCTCAACAAACACGGGTAAGCGACAAGGATGAGCTCGCCAGTGAAGAGGGGGAGCTCGTAGTGAAACGAAGCTTGGCTTGCGATTGCTCACTGCATTCATCTGACTCGGCACCGTGACGAGGATCACTAAGCATTGTCGTTGCAAGCCTCGGGAGCTGACCGCTTGCATTGAGTGACCTTGTGGATCGATTCTGGGGGCATTTGTTGAAGATAGTGCTCAATTGAGTTTGAATTTATATTGCCTACGCTTGGCGTCGAGTACGTATGGAAACCCCGCGGTATCCGGCCGATTGCGGATTGCCAAAGAAACACTGTCCGCTCAACGGTCACTAGCCTCGCTGGACTTGCGGCATTCTCTGCATCAAGTCAACCTAGTGTACTGTGTATGGCTTTGAGCTGAGACCTCGAAGTTGAAAACTCCCTCGGCCAATGATCCTTGATGGTGTAAACATCAAATCATACCTCGCAATCGCTCATAGCCCGAGGTTGGCGGGCATTTCGTATCCTAGTACATGCAACTTGCGGCTTCAGCTCGCGCTGGCGTTTCGGGTCCTGCGGTCACACGCACGCCGGTCCGACATTGATCTGAAAAACGGGGAGTTGTCCGCTTTGGCGCCCCGTGTTCCAGAAAAATCTTCGCAACGGCTCCGCGACAAGCGGGGATGTCGGACTCGGGACCAACTCCGGCAAGGCCGAATGTATGTATGCATGTATGCACCGCCTGACGGAGGCCAAGGTGAGCGTACTCAACCTTGATGAATCAACTTTCGGGAATCCCCCGACTACCCCAAACGTATCATTGTCGTTGGAACGGGGACGTTGACCGCCGGGAAGACATAGGAGATCGGAACGTCGGCTTTGAATAGTCTGGCAGCGATAGACTGCGACACTAACGTCTCAGTCGGCGGTTAGGGATCACCAGGGAACGGGCATGTGTATCTTCGTTGTCGGGGAAGTCGACCGTCGGGGAGAGCAGCTGTAATCGGGCAGTCGACTTTGACCAGCCTCGTCGTGGAAGACCGCGATGTGCATTTGACAGTCAAGGAATCGCGATCACCGCAAGATCTTCGGTCCACAAGTATGGCGAGCACTATCAAAGGCTGTCGGGGAAATTGGCCGCCGGGGAGCAATCTCCCCAGGAATAATGAAAAGGCATTTGTGGAGAGGCGGCTACGAGCTTGCTGGCCTTCATTCCAAGTCTCAATGGCGACATTTGCTAGGTTCCTCGTGTTGTGCGAAGTCAAAAGAAGCTCCTACCAGAAAGCTTGTCGTGGATCGGCGAGATGTGGCACGAAGTTGATCCGTGTCGATAGACAGAACGGCAACGTGAGGAAAGTCTAGCGCGGACTGTACCGCCGGGAAAAGTACGAAGTATTCATTTTACTTCCTCATCTTCAGAGAAGGTACACGGGGAGCTGCCGTCGGGCTGGCCCGGACTTTGTAAAGGCAATAGGATCAGTGAGAGAAAGCTTCGGTAAAAGCGGCTCTTGTCTGTCAAGATGCGTCTCAAAGACCGCTTAAGCCAATAGTAGGCCAGTGGCGATCGTCGTTCCAAAGATCAGTACGATGTTGTTGGTCAGACCAGATCGGACAACGTGGAAATTCGACGCTACCACAATCTGAATATCAGACGAGATATGTTGGGTGCAGTGACGGTGGAGACTTGGAGCTGAACGACAAGGGACTGCCTTGGCTGCCTCGGCAGACGACCCCGTCTACACCGTAACATATCTCGCACTGAGGCGTAGCTCACGGGGCTAGCAATTGAACTCGAAATGGTTTCGCAAGCTAAGAGAACCGGGGAGAATCCGTCGGTTTTGCGTCCCCGACAACGAAGAGACAGTATGAACCCAACAATCAAGGACCGGAGTTGACTCCGATTGCCATGTAAATGATGCCATTCGGGCGGGTGACCGACCGCCCGCTGCCGATGCCTCCCCTACCGCAGACTGACGCGCCGAAGGTAAACTGGCTTTGCCTTTAATCACTTGTCGTGTTGGCAACCTTTTGTGACCACCATTTCTGCCAGTCGACCACCTTCTTCCCTGTCCGCGCTTCCTCTGCCGCGAATACCATCGCATGGGAGCGAATTACCTCCTCAAGTGAGCAGCCGATGAATTCATTCTGCGCTTTCTCCGGCGTCCAGCCGTGGTTCTTGACTTTGTCCACCGCCAGTATGAATTGACGTGCGAGACCTTTGTCCCCACCGCCATGGCCGGCGTCTTCGAGGGTTGGGTGGAATGATTGGGTGGCACCCGTGTTGAAGTCCTCTATGGTGATTGTACGGGCGTCGGCATAGATCTCGCCATCAATACCATAAATATGGGTGTACCTCTCGCAAATCTTTTTCGTTTGTGCGACCATGTGCAGAGTTGCTGATTTGGATTGTTTGGTTGACTCTGGGGTACCGTCCGTGGCATCGTCCCAGGTGATGGTGACAGTCTGGTCATCACAGACATTGTTGTCCGCGTCGAAGACACAACGACCGAACCAGTTCCGCGAAGCGACGACGTCTTTGGGGGTGGAATCATCATAATCTTCAGCAAGCTTTGATGCCAGGACTTTGCTTCGCTCAGATATCGGGAAATCTTCAATCTCCGGCATTACAATGCTGACTGGCCAATCGGTGTTGCCAGAAGCGAGACCTTTCAGATCCTGGCCGAGATAGATATTCTTGGCCGAGAATTTGCAGCCTGAATCACCTAGAGGACACGACATACAATTCGTTGCATTTCCAGCGGCGGCGGGCTTGCGACCTTTCCTAAAGAGGTGGAGCGAACCACTCGACGAGACAGTGGACGGTAGATGAGGAGTGCCTGTTCCAGCCTTTACTGGTGCGCTCAGAAGCCAAAGGAGGAGATCAATGTCGTGGCAGCTCTTTGTCAATAGACTTGGTGCCGTAGTCTTTTCGTTCCGCCAGTTGCCACGCACATACGAGTGGGTAAAATGCCACCAACCGACCGGCTCGGTGTGCACAATCTTGAGGATATCGCCAATGACACGGTCTTCGAGCAAGAGTTTGCGAAGCAGCATATTGTGTGGGCTGTAACGAAGTACATGGCCGATAGAGAAGACGTTCCTGGGCTCCTGGCCAGCAGGAGGCTTCATAGCCTGATACATGTCGAGACAATCGGTAAGAGACGTGGCGAGGGGTTTCTCGCACATGACGTGCAGTCCCAGAGGAGCAAGTCCGACGAGGACGTCGCGATGCATTTCGTCAAGAACACAAATGAAGGCGGCATCAACGCCAGGCGGTACATCTTCACCAGCAGCTTCTCTCTCTCGGCGGCGTGTCTCGTATGTTACGAACTCGGTCCAGTCGGCAAACTGTTGCCCTTCTTGGGGAGTGTTGGAGCCCCAAACGAATGTTCGACCGAAGCTTTGACGCTTGTAGGTGATGGGTTCAGCGACAGCAGCCACGATACCGTTGCAAGAGGTCTCGTTAGCATGAGCATATGCTTGTCCGCGAGAGCCAGCTCCGATGACGAGAATGCGAGGTGGCGAAACAGACATGGGAGGTTTCTGAGGTGGCACTGGAGTTGCATCTTCAGGGACCGCGACGGGCGAACCCGACTTCTTGACGGACGACATGTCGTGGTCGTTATCGTTGAAGTGTGATCTGTCGGTTACAGGAGAACCCTGTGTTGAAGTTTTTCTTTCTCTTTTGACAAAGTTATATTCTCTGAGAAACTCGGAAAACACGCTGTCTTTTGGTAAATAGGGTATGAGGGATGTTGTCAATGAACAGAAGTCAGTCAGGTGAAAGAAGGAGGTTTATGTTACTTGGAGTACTGGCTCCAACATGGAAAGTGGGGTCCATGTAGAAGGGCAGGTCCAATGAATGATGGTTTATTTGAATCGTGGTCCGGGGTACTTGCCTTGGTTCTTGGCAGTTTACTTATCTTATCAGCGGCTGTCGGTTGAATTTCCTCCTCTGCCGATGTGGGGCATCTTTCTCTGCGGGCAGTTCTGGCGGTGAGACGTCCCTGCCCGGGCAATTGGAGTGGGCAGCAATAGTAGGAGCCTTGATATGCCAGGTACTTTGCTGATGCATCCTGTATTCCCAGGGTTTACCTGAACCATCTTCATAACTCCGTATGAAATTATACGCGGGTAGAAAACATGCCCGGAGAAGTTCCCACTAGCAATAGCAATAGCAGTGAGTACCTACTATCTACATAGGTGGTGGCCATGGAAAGAAAGGAAGCATTGAGAACGCCCGGCTGGCACTGCTAGGATCGCATGGTACTCCGTGCATCTTGGTCCTCCTTCCATTCAATACCTAATTGGAAGCCACAGCTGGGATGCTGCAGCTTGCACCCCACCTTGTACTCCAACTCTGGCGAAGTTGTGGCTCAGTCAAGCTTAGCACGCCCAAAAGAAGATCCTGCTGTTGACGGAGTGCAACTCAAGTTGACAAGAGTTAGAATCAATATCAACATCATTCCCGCCTGAACCATGGATCTTCTCAACTCCCTCAAAAACAAAGCTCCCGCCCCGAAGATGCAGTCTGCATCTGACGGCCCCTTGGTCTGGGTTGACTGCGAGGTATGCACCCCAAGCTTAGGCATGCCACTCTTAACCCTAGACTGACTAACACATCCCCAGATGACTGGACTGGATCCGGACAAGGAGGAGATTATCGAGATTTTCTGCATCATCACCACCGGGAACCTGCAAGTCGTTGACCTCGAGGGCTGGGGCTGCGTGGTGCACCAGACGGAGCAACGCATGGCGCAGATGGACGAATGGTGCACCAAGACACACGGCGACAGCGGCCTCACAGCGGCGGTCATCAAGTCGACGACGACACCTGAGCAGGCTGCCGACGATCTGCTCGCTTACATCAAGAAGCACATCTCGCAGAAGAAGACGGCGCTGCTGGCGGGTAACAGTGTACACGCGGACCGATCGTTCCTCAACAAGCCGCCCTACCGCAAGGTGGTTGACCATTTACACCATCGCATTCTCGATGTCAGCTCGCTCAAGGAGGCGGCAAGACGTTGGTGCCCGCCGCAGGTCGCGGACGGTGCCCCAGCCAAGCAGGGACTTCACCAGGCCAAGGAAGATATTCTCGAGAGCATTGCTGAGGCCAGGTACTACAGAGAAGTCATTTTTGGCCGGACGTGGAGAGGGCAGGCCAGCGCGCAGGACACGCCGGTCAGTGAACGGGATGAGGACGATGCTTGGGCAGACAACCTGTTGTAGATTGTACTATCCAGAGAGTCAGGCTCGATTCTTCTAATTTGATGAAGCACTGGGATGAGTGAGATATCTTGAGGTGCCTCACCTGCCTTACCTAAGATTGCCTGGTAGCTAATGTAAATAGTTGAATCGATAGTTGACCGCAAGGGTAGCGGGGTCGTTTGAAGACAGTACGCAGTATCCTACGCACTGCTGAATGCTGGTCAACCGCGCACTTCAAACCGTGCGAATAATAGCCACACCAACCAGCACCTCACGATGATTCGCCGGGAAGATCCCCTGTGTTGGGCCCCTGGAAGTGAGGGGCTCTCCCAGAGCTGCCCCTCCTTCATTGTGCGGTGACCCCGCCCACGTCGAGGCTCAGGATGATATCACTGGCCAAGCAAACCCCCACCATGAGGTGGTGGCCACAGCTTTGGCGGAATGAAAGGTACCTTCACCAATGTGTACGAGGTCGGAGGGGCGTTATTCACTAAAAAAAAGGTGCAATCTGAGCCTATCGTGTGCCATCTCCCATTCACTGAGGTGCCCCAATGCGTCGTATTCTGCCCACATAAGCTACCTAAGGTATTTCCAGTGGCCTACGGATCCCTTAGTCTCTCACCGCACCAAGTTCCCAATGAAAGCTTTCTAGGCCCCTTGCCCAATGCCCACCACTCCCCGGTCCCACCTCCCGTACCTACGCCAACGCCGGTTCGCATGAGAGACGGAAGAAAGAACCCAGGCAAAGGCGAGACAGAGACACTAATAATTGCAGCTCCATTCCCAACATTCTCCTTTTCCTCTTCTACAACCTAGACAACTCTCCCCCTCAATACCATCACTACTCGAACTATACAGCATCATGGACGTCCAGACTGTCGAGTTCAAGCCTTTCCAGGACCAGAAGCCCGGCACGTACGTCATTTCTCCCCTAACAGAAACAAACCCCTCGCTGTTATCGTCCCCAAACATGTCGAGTCCAACTTTTTGTTGCTACCCCGCCATAGCTGCCAATCGCGCGATGCACCCTCACTCAGCAACCCCATCACTGACTAGCCATTCCACAGTTCTGGTCTTCGCAAGAAGGTCACCGTCTTCCAGCAGGCTCACTACAGCGAGGCCTTTGTCACGAGCATTCTCCTGTCCATTCCCGAGGGCGTCGAGGGTAAATAGCAAAGCCATCTCAGCTTTCGGTCTTGGCAATCGCCCCAGGAAACTGACAGACCGCCTCTCTAGGTTCTTTCCTCGTCATCGGTGGTGATGGTCGTTTCTGGAACCCCGAGGTCGTCCAATTGATTGCCAAGATTGGTGCCGCCTACGGTGTCAAGAAGCTCCTCATCGGCCAGGACGGCATTCTGTCCACTCCCGCTGCCAGCCATGTCATCCGCAAGCGCAAGGCCACTGGTGGTATTCTCCTGACTGCCAGCCACAACCCCGGCGGTAAGATCTCTACACATACCCTTAAGATCATACTCGCCAGCTAAACGATGAACCCATTTCAGGTCCCAAGAACGACTTCGGTATCAAGTACAACCTTGCCAACGGTGGCCCTGCCCCCGAGTCCGTCACCAACAAGATCTACGAGGCCTCCAAGACCCTCACCTCCTACAAGATCGCCAACATCCCCGATGTCGACATCTCCACCATCGGCACCAAGACCTACGGCTCTCTCGAGGTCGAGGTTGTCGACAGCACTGTCGACTACATCGAGATGCTCAAGGACATCTTCGACTTCGACCTCATCAAGAAGTTCTTCCAGTCAAACCCCGACTTCAAGGTCCTCTTTGACGGCCTTCACGGTGTCACTGGTCCTTACGGAACCGCCATCTTCGAGAAGGAGCTCGGCCTCAAGGGCGCCACCCAGAACTGCATTCCCAGCCCCGACTTCAACGGCGGCCACCCCGACCCCAACCTGACCTACGCCCACTCCCTCGTCGAGGTCGTTGACAAGAACAACATCCCCTTCGGTGCTGCCTCCGACGGTGATGGAGACCGCAACATGATCTACGGTGCCAACGCCTTCGTCTCCCCCGGTGACTCCCTGGCCATCATCGCCCACCACGCCAACCTCATCCCCTACTTCAAGAAGCAGGGTGTTTACGGCCTGGCCCGCTCCATGCCTACTTCCGGTGCCGTCGACCTGGTTGCCAAGAAGCAGGGCCTGAACTGCTACGAGGTCCCTACCGGCTGGAAGTTCTTCTGTGCCCTCTTCGATGCCGACAAGCTCTCCATCTGCGGTGAGGAGTCCTTCGGCACTGGCAGCAACCACATCCGTGAGAAGGATGGTCTCTGGGCTGTCGTCGCCTGGTTGAACATCATCGCCGGTATCGGCGAGCAGAACCCTGGCGTCACTCCCTCCATCAAGAAGATCCAGCAGGACTTCTGGACTGAGTACGGCCGTACCTTCTTCACCCGTTACGACTACGAGGATGTCGACAGCGAGGGTGCCAACAAGGTTGTTGGTGTCCTGAAGGACCTCGTCGCCGACCCCAACTTCATCGGCAGCAAGGTTGGAGGTAAGTCTACATACAAAATGCCCATCAGAACCCTTAAGAATGAAATGAGACTAACTTTGACAGACCGCACCGTCACCGGCGCTGGCAACTTCTCCTACACCGATCTCGACGGCTCTGTCTCCTCCAACCAGGGTCTGTACGCCACCTTCTCCTCGGGCAGCCGCATCATTGTCCGTCTCTCCGGCACTGGCTCGTCCGGCGCCACTATCCGTCTCTACCTCGAGCAGCACAGCTCCGACCCCAAGACGTACGACCTGGATGCCCAGGACTTCCTCAAGCCCGAGATCCAGATGGCCACCGAGCTTCTCAAGTTCAAGGAGTTCATTGGCCGTGACGAGCCCGATGTCAAGACCTAAGTGCATTGTTGCATGATTGGGTTGCACTTGGACAAAGGGGGATAAGGAGGGGAGTTTTTCAAAAAAGTAACGCTTCAGTATAGAGAAGTAGAAGAAAGGCCAGCACCAATGTTGCTGTGGACGATGTCACGATGGTACACGATTTGCATAAATTGAATCAATTGACCTAATCACACAATAGTCTATTACTTGACAGTGCCCTCCCTGACCCCTTCTCTGGGCTCTTTTCAACGTGTGAATTTTTTGTGCCGCGTAATCATCAATCTCGATCATAAAGGTCGTCAAGTCATTAGACAAAGAGAAAGAGGAATCAAGAAACGCAATGGAACGCATACGGAACTGGGCAAGAAAGGTACCCCTCAGAGCAATCTTCCGGGGTATTTCCTCCGAGATACAAAACATCCGCTCGCTTATCCTCTGCGATACATTGAAGCTGCGTTTGACATTGTCCAGGCTGAAAAGGGGAGGAAAACAAGACTGCCGTAAAAAATCGTGGAAAGAATTGGAGACGCGCGTGTCAAAGTTCGTTAGAGCGGTTCTTCCTTGGGAAGACGTGGAGGAGACAGGGGCTGGGCGAGTAAGATGCCGGACTGAGAGTAGGTGCATGTCTGCTCACCTACTCTTCGAGTCCCGCAAATCTGTCGAGGTATGTGCCCCGCAAAACGGTGAGTGGCAGCGTCCTAGGGGTGGAAGGTGTCGGTGAAGGGGGGCTCCATATTGGTCCGGAGTCGGAGTGGATATATATACCCTTGCCTCGAGGAAGCTCATCACCGGTTGCAAGTCATTTGGCGTCCTCGATGGCTTCCATGGTGTCTGTAGATGCCTCGGAGGGATCCGCCTGCGACTGTATTTCCTCAATGAACCGCGTCGCGCCCATATCGGATACAAAGTCGATCTCAAAGGCGCCGGCGGAGGATCCTTTCCTCTGATTCTGCTGATGGTACTGTTGGCAAAAGACGTAAAGCTGGACGTCTTTGAGCCAGATGCGGTGATCTGATTTGCGTACGAGCCAGGTCGGAGAGGCGGATTGGTGGGTGACTGAGATTATCGTGTTTTGTCAGTCTCAAGCCCGAAAGAAACCGGAATGTGAGCCAGAGTGAGGATGGATGATGGTGTAGCAGGATCTTACCGAAAGCGGTCCAAACTGGACAATTCTTGAGTTCGCCATCCCACACTGAAGCTTGGAGACGAAGACCTTGGGTGACAAGGTCGCGGTAGACGATGAGAGAATGCTTGAAGCCATCATCACGGATTTGGCTGCGGTAAAAGGTGTTAGCTATGGTGTCATGGCCGGAGGTGCAATACTGGGTGGATCACGCACGCCTGGAACAGTCGGGATTCACTACCGAGCTTGAACTCCCTTGGACTCATTCTGCTCGTCAAGATATTTCGAGCCTTGAGAGAGACGAACGTGCAGTGAAATAAGACCAATTCTGGGAAACATCAGCGGATGGTCAAACGACAAGTCGGACGAGGGTGAACAGACCCTCCCAGGTCTTGAAGTAGAGAGATGCCCATAGTTTGACGCCCATCTGCGAATGACTGTATCGGTCCAGTAGTAAGGCGCTGCCTTCCCGCCTCATGAAGATTTCGTGGGTACCAAGTAGTGAGAACCACTGGCCCCCCAAATGATATGTCCGGAGGAGAAAGTAGGGGGTCTGGTTGACATGATTTAGATAGGTCATCAACGCAAGGCGATCCTCGTCGAACGGTCTTAGTTCTGGCGTCAGAAAAACTTCGTCAAGCTATGATTTGCGAGCACATGTACCTTCTGAACAGCATCTTGACCTGTTTGGGAATATTCAGTTGTCCCCACGTTTGGAAAGGACCATAAGCTGTCGATGGTCTGATGTGCTTCAAAGCCGTTCGGGAGGTGAGCGGAAGAGAGAAGATCTGCTCTGCCCAGTGTAATGTCTTGGGAAAGAGGGTTCATCAGCTAAGCTGCCTTTCCCATAACAACAGCACGTACCGGATCCTGAGGTGTTGGTCTGAGCATAACCTCTGGTCGAAGGACAGGCCCGATTTGGGTTGTTGGCGTAGCTTCATAGTATGTGTCAGTCAACCTGCTGCTACTTTGCCTCTGAACGAACATACGGAGTCCTCTTGCTTCTCTCAACTTGATTATCCTAGTTCGAAGCGTCTCTAGGCC